TCCCACCTCCCCCCCCACTCCCCCACCTCCCCCACTCCCCCCACCTCCCCCCACCCCCCCCCACCACACACAGAGAACGGCAAATGCAACAAGAAGACGGGAGACACTCAACAGACCTTAGAGACATCACGTGACGCAAACCAGTCGGCCACCAACACAGCGAGGACACTCACAACTGGTGACCAGGTACTTGACAAGATCGCCAAACCTCCCGTGTCGTCATCGTCTGGGCCGAACGTGCCAACGCAGAATCCACAACACAAACGCGTCGACAGGTAGCCCCCGCTGAGCGTGAATTACCATCTTACCGTCTTCTCAACAGGGCCGGTTTCTTCACTAGGGCGATTGGGCGACGCACCACCAATGTCATTCAACCACAGAGTCACGCTAGCCGTCACTGTCAGCCTCTGGATATAGTCCAATCAGCGTCATGTCACGTTCTGTGGAGTACCGCCTCTTTTTGGGCGATTTCACTCCGGCTGAGAATCGCCCGAGTGGTCCGTAGACTTACATTCAAAGATGTGTTTTTTTCGAACGGCGGGCGGCTGCAAAGCATTCTCTATGCTTCCGGGAGGGCTCGCCCTAACGTGCTTACGTCATCATACGTAAGCACGTTTCAGTCAGCAGTATTATTTGTCGCCACCTAGTGGAATGTTTAATAAAATAAAATGAGTGGATTGTATTAATAGAAACAACAACAAGATGTATTGTAAGAGTCACTTTATTTGTCATTAATATTAAATAAGTGAAGTTGTCTTTACATGCTTAAGCTGTTAATGTATCCATTGCATGGGTGGACCTTATCCTTATCAATCATCCACACATTTGCCCCCCCCTGAGAGATTTTGCAGGAGCCACCACTGCTTCTCAATGGGCGACTGAATGTTGCGACATCGATGGCGATATTGTTGGGTGAAGGTACATCGCAGTGAGTGCTACGGCGCGTCAGTCTATTTGTCGGAGAATATTTGAGAGACTGTGGTTTCTTTTTCGCGGACTGTTATAGATTCGGAATCTATTCGTGGATTGCCTTGTGTCTGTGTGTGTGTGTGTCTGTGTGTGTCTGTGTGTCTGTGTGTGTGTGTGTGTGTCTGTGTGTGTGTGTCTGTGTGTTTCTGTGTGTTGGTGTGTGTCTGTGTGTGTGTCTGTGTGTGTGGGTGTCTGTGTGTGTTGTGTGTCTGTGTGTGTGTCTGTGTCTGTGTGTGTGTCTGTGTGTGTGTATTTGGAGGCAGTCGCCCTCCAACAACAACGGAGGGGGAAGGAGCGACGCTCACAACAACGAGCGGAGCGCCGGGTGGCTAAAGCACAACAAGTTGGCCACAGTAGGGGGCACAGGTGGTGCATCAGCCAGTCATCTCGGTCATCTCGGTCAGTCGACCAGTGGCACCTGGGTCTGCCCCGTGACCTCCTGCAGCGGGCTTTCGACACTTCACGTGGCCTCAAGGTGCACTTGGCCTGGCACAAGCATCGTGGTGACGTCACCGCCACTTAGTGGCGAATGGCGGTTGTTGTTGTTGTTGTTGTGTCTGTGTGTGTGTATTTGGAAGGCAGTCGCCCTCCAACAACAACGGAGGGCGGAGAAGCGACGCTCACAACAACGAGCGGAGCGCCGGGTGGCTAAAGCACAGCAAGTTGGTACAGTAGGGGGCACAGGTGGTGCATCAGCCAGTCGTCTCGGTCATCTCGGTCAGTCGACCCGTGGCACCTGCTGGGTCTGCCCCGTGACCTCCTGCCAGCGGGCGTTTGACACTTCACGTGGCAGCCTCAAGGTGCACTTGGCCTGGCACAAGCGTCGTGGTGACGTCACCGCCACTTAGTGGCGAATGGCGGTTGTTGTTGTTGTTACGTTTGTGCACAGTTTTATTTCTTAGCAGGAACGATGTTGGCCACGCCACATCCATTTCGACTCAGTTTGCCCTAAACGGGTCCATAGAGCCGTGCCTTCTCTTGCCCTACCAGGTCGCTGGAGAACACTCGATCCGACAACACAGGAGCTGTGCCCACAGGCCCCCTCCACGCCTCCGCCATCACAGGAGGATCTGCTTTGTCCTTACACCGGCTCAATGCCTTCATAGGAGGTATGCAGTCAACAATGCTTGACTCAGGGAGGAGGACGCCCCTGCCGTGCATAGTCCCATGGGATGTTGGCTACCAACAACAAGGCAACTCCTACGACCAATTGGGAATGGGACGCACGCGTAGGATTGATCGCCCTGTCGCTGGCCGCCTTTGGGGAGGGTGTATCGTGCGAAAGGCCGAAACATTCTAGGAATCAAAGGTTCACTACTGATGATCTGCTCCCCAAATGTCACCAGGCTCGCTGTTCATGAACTCTTGGAAGTGCTTGCACAAAGGATAGTAACATCTCATCCTGTGTTCTTGGAATCTGAACCTACACACCTACTCACTCACCTACTCTCACCTACACACTCACCTACTCACTCACCTACTCACTCACTCACCTACATACTCACACACTCACTCACCCACTCACTCACCTACTCACTCACTCACTCACCTACTCACTCACCTACTCACTCACCTACTCAACTCTTATTGTTGGCTATCAACAACAAGGCAACTCCTACGACTAATTGGGAATGGGACGCAAGCGTAGGATTGATCGCCCTGTCGCTGGCCGCCTTTGGGGAGGGTGTATCGTGTGAAAGGCCGAAACACCCTAGGAACCAAAGGTTCACTGCTGACGATGCGCTCCCCAAATGTCACCAGGCTCACTGTTCGTGAACTCTTGGAAGTGCTTGCACAAAGGATAGTAACATCTCATCCTGTGTTCTTTGGAATCTGCATAGAGACGTCGTTCCGTGCACAAAAATATTTGGAAACGTCGACTTTATTTTGACGACTGTGGGACATTACGTCTCTTGGACATGTTACTGCAACTGGGAACACAATCAGAGGATTAGAGATTCAACAGCAACCGTGACGTGCTTTTATTAGATAGCCTACATTGTAAAACACGTTACCAGACCTATACAAGTTGTATTTCGATTTAAAGCTTTCGTGACTGCAGGGATTCATCTTCTTGGTTCTTTCGGTAAAGTCACGTAGAAGGGCGGCTGCTTGCGTTGTGGCCGAAACGTCGTGAGAATTGTTTTATTATGTTTTATTTTTATTATTTTACTACTTCCCTTCTACGTGACTTTACCGAAAGAACCAAGAAGATATACAAGTTGTGTTGCAGGCAAGGCAATTACTGCTGTGATCATCCGTAAAGAATATAAGTGACGCAATTATACTAGAACACCGCGGTCAGACGTTTCAAAATCAATTCACCAACTCAGAAGATCCCTCTAAAGATATCCAGAAAGTTCTTCATTGCGTCCTCGGCGTCTTCCTTCGGTCGAACACTAAAGCGTTGAACAATAAGGACCAGCATTACAATTAGTGCGTCAATTTAAAATCATCCTCACAGTAGGCCATAGTATTCGCCTTATAGACTCGACTTAGTAACCCGGGAAAGCATCGGTCAAACATGATATCAGTCCATAGGGGGCGACAATTCCTATTAATACAGTAGAGGTTTTTGTTTGGGTGAGATCGCTGCTCTGGCTTCTATAGCGGTGAGCTCCACCCTGGCCACGCCCTCTTTCTAGAACTCTCTGGAAGGTGACGTCATCCCCCCGTTCCCCCACCCTGAGCCCCGTAAGGGAAATTCAACATTTTTTCTCTTTGCTTGATACAGCAGTCGTGCTGTGACGGTTCCACCTGAAGACGGAAGCTTGTGTTGCCTCCGAAACGTCGTGAGTTTTATGTTACTTTTTTATTTTACTTTTATTAATTTTAATTTTATTTTCTACCCACGTGACTTTGCCGAAAAAACCTAAGAGTATGAATCCTTGCAGTCACGAAAGCTTAAAATCTAGAATCAACCTTTCAATACAACAGCACAGAACTGTCGTTGCTAATTTCAATCTGCCAACTCATCTTGCAATAATGCCACGGGCTCTTTGAGCATCCTCTTTGAAGAGCAGATGGCGTGTCGTACTTAGCGGTTAATAGCCAGACAGTCATGTCCAGGACACCATTGGAACCTCATTTGCCAGAAGAAAAAATATGATAATTGTTTTTTTACCCTTTTATCTGGCAACAAAACTGAAAAAAATTTAACCCGTAAAAACAAAGTTTTTCACTCTAAATACTTTATATGCGTGGCGGCTAGAGTCCTCTCGTCCTCTGGCTTGAGATGGCTGTCACCTATGGGTCAGATGATTGCCTGCCACCATTAAGCAATTGGTAATTAAATATTAAAAATTTCCTAAAATGTTGAAAATTTTGGAAAAATTTTTCAAGAAAATAAATTGTCACGCACAACGAGTCTGTGTGCAAAATGTCAGCTCGATTGGATCACAGGAAGTGGGTTAAAAAACGACCGAAAGATTTGCACGGTCGTAAGCAAGCAAGCAAGCAAGTGAACTTAATATAAAGGATTAAAAAGGTGTCAGTTTTGTTGTCAGATAAAAGGGTAAAAAACCAATTATCATATCCAGGACAGTCCGCTAGATTCTAACCCCGAGACCTTTACAACGAGCGGGGGAAAAAAAACACGAGCGCTGGGGCAGGTGCCGTATAAGCACGTTAAGTACGACAACGCTGCACTCGTGTTTCGGGCCGTTGATGAAAGCGCTGGTTTCTCTCACCAAGTGGAGCTTGGAGACAAGAACATGCGACTTTTGGAACCGCCGCAAGATTTCTCAGCGCATGCCACCTGGGATGTGAAACAAAGGCAAGAGCTTAAACATCATCCTCCAATCACGATCGCGTCAAAAGCAACAAGTCGTCGTGGCGACAGCCGTTGACACCAGCAGACTTCTCCAAGCGAGGGAATAAGAAACAGAGGTCGCAAACGGGTTTTGATTCCTTACCCGTACCCGGCCGCACCAGGGTCGTAAACGGCTACCCGTACCCTACCCGATACCCGGCTACCCGTACCCAGCTGGGTACGGGTAGGGTACGGGTATCGGGTACCCAATTGCGACCTCTGGGATGAAGCCACGTTGCAGGCGCGGGTGGGTTGATTCTAGGAACTTGAATTGTGAGAAGAGACAAGACGTTGGGAAATGAGTGACAAACGGTGACTCACCAGTGACTCACGGCCTACCCGTACCCGTACCCGACTGGGTACGGGTAGCCGGGTATCGGGTAGGGTACGGGTATCGGGTACCCGGTTGCGACCTCTGATAATAAATAAACAAGAAGAGAGTTGTTGTGGCCAGCGGTGGAAGAGCGTGGATCAGATGAAACAGTCCGGTAAACCGAGCGCTCAACATGTGTGTAGAAATCAACGGTTGAGGTTCAAGCTGAGAGTAGTCACAACAGATAAGGCACAGTGATCAGGAGCTAACTGTTGTTCAATTCTACAAATAATCATAATCAGCAATGCCGTATTTGGAACTGAACCTCAGAGCGCGCGTGCGATCGCGGTTCATCGTGTCCTTACCGAACGTGCACATCAAATGTGGCGTTTGCATTTCCGTGTCCAGTCTGTGATGCAATTTTACCCGCTCGGAATTCGTCGGCAGAGGTTGACTGGCCCGTGCGACACACGGCGGAACGGCGGCTTGAACACGCCGCTCCGGAAGATTCCACTGCACATCAAGTCCTGAGCTTCTGTCGTCGTAAGATCTCTTCTTACGGCTGTCATCCCTCTTGTCGACTCTGCACAACCGGAATGTGGCCACTATTTAGTATTCGTATTCTTAGGTTTTTTCGGTAAAATCACCGTGTAGGTAAAAACATTAAAAAGTAAAATAAAATAAAATCACGACGTTTCGGAGGCAACACAAGCTTCCGTCTTCAGGTGGAACCGTCACAGCCACGACAGCCGTATCAAGTAAATGAGAGATTGCAAGAGCTACCACTCCGTTTATATAATGGTTGGAGAGGGGGGGGGGGTAAGGGCCAAGTACAGCACACTTTTTATTCATATGGTAAGGCGAGGCTTAATTTTAATGTTTTATCTACGTGACTTTACCGAAAAAACCTAAGAATATGAATCCTTGCAATCACGAAAGCTTCAAATCTAGAATTAACACTATTTAGTCGTCGTATTGGCGAACTACCTACGTACTCATCTTATTGGTTCTTTCGGTAAAGTCACGTAGAAGGGAAGAAATAAAATAATAAAAATAAAACATAACAAAATAAAATAATTATTATATTATTTTATTATATTATTTTATTTTATTATGTTTTATTTTTATTATTTTATTACTTCCCTTCTACGTGATGACTTTACCGAAAGAACCAAGAAGATGAATCCTTGCTGCAGTCACGAAAGAAGCTTTGAATCTAAATTCATTTCGGATGATGTCGCTGACTAATGTTTGCATGTAGAATGTGCGTGCTGAGAGCGGTGATCAGAGAGAGAGACGCACCGACTGTCGTCTTGATGTTGAAATGCTGGAACCGGAACATGAGCGACGCTCAAGGGAGATCGGAGTTTGTCCACCCCCCTTGGCAACTCTCTGGACCCCGACGTGTCATCCACACTCTTGTCACCAGCAGTCACAGCTGCACACACACACACCACCATGTTTCGTCGAGCGGCATTACAAAGCTTCTTGCTGTATTCTTAGGTTTGTTTTCGGTAAAGTCACGTAGGTAAAACATTTAAATTAATAAAAGTAATTTTTATTATATTTTTATTTATCTTTAATTAATTTTAATGTTTTACCTACGTGACTTTACCGAAACAAACCTAAGAATATGAATCATTGCAGTTACGAAAGCTTCAAATCTAGAAATTCTTGCTGTACATTGCGCCGTGTAAAATGTGTATCCCTATCCAGAGTGCATCAATATACAGGGCAGCCCAAACAGTGAGGGCACAAAGAGTGATTATACTTGTTTTTACAAATCACATGGGGTTATTTCATTTATTTTAACAAACGTTCAAACTGACTTCCATAAAACATCGCGATGAATTGTCGTCATTGTTTTAGTAGGCTAAGAGCTCAGACGACACAGAGTTATCAACATGACAAGTGTAGCAGTCACGGAAGCTACAAAATTAAGATTGAACCACTTCTACGGGGAAGTTTTAAGTTTATCTTTTTCTCTCTCTCTCTGATTTTTTGTTTTCTCTCTCTGCCTGTGTCCTCTCTTTGGAATTTTCACACTTAAATTCTAACTTAGCAATCTTTGAAATACGTAATCGACCAGGCTATGCATTCATTGTGTGTTGACCGACTCTCTGTGTTGCATTACATTACATTTCGATATTTTGCTAGGTTATCTAATTTTAGTGTCTTTCTCCTAATTTTCCACTCATTGACTTGCTAATTTTTTTCTCTGCCCCCTCCCTCTCTCTGCCCCCGCCCCCTCTCTCTATTTAAGGCCTCGTCACAGAGACGATCTCTCTCTGTGTGCCGATACGTGTTGTTCTCTCTCTGTGTATCTTGGCGATATCTGTCTGCTTATATGTCTGTCTATAGTTTTCTAGTTAGATTTTTGTTGCTATTTCTTTTATACCTGATGACGATTGCTTGTGTTGCAATCGAAACGTCGTAGTATGCTATTATTTAATATATTACTTTATCGTTATACGTCACTTTACCGAAAGAACCAAAGAATAACTCCTGCAGTCACGAAAGCTCCAAAATTAAGATTGTAGCATTTTAAGTTGAGCGCACAGCCATCATCTACAGACACAACCACATTACCCAATTCGCCTTGAGGCAACAGCAGCTCAGAAGGACCACTGCATCTGCAATAAAGACACACGCGTTTAAAATGTCAAGCCTCGCCATGCCTATACAAGCACAACACACCTTAACGCTGTATGACTCAGCATCATTCAAATGTATGAATCACCGTTTGCATTTTAAATATTCAGCACACTTTATTTACTGTCAAACGTACCTGTCGTCATGCGGTCCACACTGAGGCTTAGGGGCGTAAGCAAACTTGGATAAGTTCACTGAGATTCCCCCCTTTATAGAGCAAACCTATGAATGCACTCAGCACAAGGCACAGCAACAGGATGTTCACAACATACTTCAGGTATATTGAGGGTTTACAATTATAGTGCTGGACGCAAACACAATCTGAAACGTTTTGTTTCCAATAAAATGACAATTATTACAACATTGGCATGTTAAATTTCGATTTAAAGCTTCTTTCGTGACTGCAGGGATTCATCTTCTTGGTTCTTTCGGGAAAGTCATCACGTAGAAGAATGTTTTTAAAATAAAGTTGTATTTCTATTACTTCATTATTTCCCTTCGACGTGACTTTTTCAGTTCTAAATGTTTGCGTACGCGTGTTTCGCTACGTGCATGCCAATTTACACAAAACTACACGAGGCGCAGTACGAGCACCACCGCGGTAACAGCTGTGAGGGCTGTAGAAGTGCGCGATGTTTCACCGCAACATTTCCACTCGTACCTTGAGCCTTTTGTTATCTGGAACGCCGGTCAGACTCACGCTCTTGCTTTTGAGTTCACTCAAGTAGCTCCGCACGTGAGCGCTCGAGGTGCTAGGCGCCAGCGGCGTTGACCTGGCCACATTTCCTTTGCCTAGAAGTTAAAACGGCGCGACACAAGCGCTTAGAGGCGACAACAACAACAACAACAACACAGCACTCACCAGGCTGCACAAGCGCTTAGAGGCGACAACAACAACAACAACACTGCACTCACCAGGCTGCACAAGCGCTTAGAGGCGAGTAGCAACAACAACAACAACAACACTGCACTCACCAGGCTGCACAAGCGCTTAGAGGCGAGTAGCAACAACAACAACAACACAGCACTCACCAGGCTGCACAAGCGCTTAGAGGCGAGTAGCAACAACAACAACAACAACACTGCACTCACCAGGCTGCACCAGCGCTTAGAGGCGAGTAGCAACAACAACAACAACAACACTGCACTCACCAGGCTGCACCAGCGCTTAGAGGCGAGTAGCAACAACAACAACAACACTGCACTCACCAGGCTGCACCAGCGCTTAGAGGCGAGTAGCAACAACAACAACAACAACACTGCACTCACCAGGCTGCACAAGCGCTTAGAGGCGAGTAGCAACAACAACAACAACAACACTGCACTCACCAGGCTGCACAAGCGCTTAGAGGCGAGTAGCAACAACAACAACAACAACACTGCACTCACCAGGCTGCACAAGCGCTTAGAGGCGAGTAGCGACAACAACAACAACAACACTGCACTCACCAGACAGCACAAGCGCTTAGAGGCGAGTAGCAACAACAACAACAACACTGCACTCACCAGGCTGCACAAGCGCTTAGAGGCGAGTAGCGACAACAACAACAACACTGCACTCACCAGGCTGCACAAGCGCTTAGAGGCGAGTAGCAACAACAACAACAACACTGCACTCACCAGGCAGCACCAGCGCTTAGAGGCGAGTAGCAACAACAACAACAACAACACTGCACTCACCAGGCTGCACAAGCGCTTAGAGGCGAGTAGCAACAACAACAACACTGCACTCACCAGGCAGCACAAGCGCTTAGAGGCGAGTAGCAACAACAACAACAACAACACTGCACTCACCAGGCTGCACAAGCGCTTAGAGGCGAGTAGCAACAACAACAACAACAACACTGCACTCACCAGGCTGCACAAGCGCTTAGAGGCGAGTAGCAACAACAACAACAACAACACTGCACTCACCAGGCAGCACCAGCGCTTAGAGGCGAGTAGCAACAACAACAACAACACTGCACTCACCAGGCTGCACAAGCGCTTAGAGGCGAGTAGCAACAACAACAACAACAACACTGCACTCACCAGGCTGCACAAGCGCTTAGAGGCGAGTAGCAACAACAACAACAACAACACTGCACTCACCAGGCAGCACCAGCGCTTAGAGGCGAGTAGCAACAACAACAACAACAACACTGCACTCACCAGGCTGCACAAGCGCTTAGAGGCGAGTAGCAACAACAACAACAACAACACTGCACTCACCAGGCAGCACCAGCGCTTAGAGGCGAGTAGCAACAACAACAACAACAACACTGCACTCACCAGGCTGCACAAGCGCTTAGAGGCGAGTAGCGACAACAACAACAACAACACTGCACTCACCAGGCAGCACCAGCGCTTAGAGGCGAGTAGCAACAACAACAACAACACAGCACTCACCAGGCTGCACAAGCGCTTAGAGGCGACAACAACAACAACAACACTGCACTCACCAGGCAGCACAAGCGCTTAGAGGCGAGTAGCAACAACAACAACAACAACACTGCACTCACCAGGCTGCACAAGCGCTTAGAGGCGAGTAGCAACAACAACAACAACAACACTGCACTCACCAGGCAGCACCAGCGCTTAGAGGCGAGTAGCAACAACAACAACAACACTGCACTCACCAGGCTGCACAAGCGCTTAGAGGCGACAACAACAACAACAACACTGCACTCACCAGGCTGCACAAGCGCTTAGAGGCGAGTAGCAACAACAACAACAACACTGCACTCACCAGGCAGCACCAGCGCTTAGAGGCGAGTAGCAACAACAACAACAACACTGCACTCACCAGGCTGCACAAGCGCTTAGAGGCGACAACAACAACAACAACACTGCACTCACCAGGCTGCACAAGCGCTTAGAGGCGAGTAGCAACAACAACAACAACACTGCACTCACCAGGCTGCACAAGCGCTTAGAGGCGAGTAGCAACAACAACAACAACACTGCACTCACCAGACGCTTTCACATTACCGGTGAGCCGCTCACAGTTGTGTAATAAAGCTCTTTGAGACGACTTCTGGAATCCGTCTTTAATTCACTTTAGGTTACAGCTACTTCTAGAGTTGAAGCTTTCGTGACTACAAGGATTCATATTCTTAGGTTTTTTCGGTAAAGTCACGTGTAGGTAAAAAAACATTATTTTATTTTACTTTTTAATGTTTTTTTACCGACGTGACTTTACCGAAAAAACCTAGGAATAAATTTCGATTTAAAGCTTTCGTGACTGCAGGGATTCATCTTCTTGGTTCTTTCGGTAAAGTCACGTAGAAGGGAAGTAATAATATACTTTAGTTTTCTACGTGGTTGTTGAGTAACTGCAGCTACATATCATTAACATTCCTTTCCTCTGTTACTGCTAATCCCTGCACCCCCCCTTGGTGCTGCTAATCCTGCATAATGCATGGGCATAATATGACTTTGAAACCCCCCCACCCACCTCCTACGCATTTCCCATGAATATGCTAAATTCCTCTTGATATGCACATTCTTTTGTTAAGGCGCTCTTCTTCTTCCACCTCCAACCCAGCTTATATATAAGCTCCTAGCTTGGCAGTGTCTCATTCTTCACCTGAAGACGGCTGCTTGCGTTGTGGCCGAAACGTCGTGAGAATTATTTTATTTTATTATGTTTTATTTTTATTATTTTATTACTTCCCTTCTACGTGGTGACTTTACCGAAAGAACCAAGAAGATGAACCTAGGAATAGGTTACAGCTACTTGACGCTGCTGATAGGCAACGTGTATTGGACAGACGGACCGAGAGAGACTCACGGCCACGTGGCAACTCGGAGCCTCGCTCCCGCGTGGCCCCTTCCTCCGTTGGTTCCCGTTCTGACCACGTGTCGTTTCTCTCCGCCCCTACTTAGCACCCGGGTCACGTGGTACGCTTCTGCCAATCCTCGTTAGCCTCCATGGAATCTTCCAGGCTCCCTCGTCAGCTCCCGGGACCACGCCCCTGACTCGTCTCCCCATTGGCTGAGGCCAAAGCCAGCAGAACCAATCATCTACTTGCAGATGTTACCATCACGTCAGGACCACGCCCCTGACTCGTCTCCCCATTGGCTGAGGCCAAAGCCAGCAGAACCAATCATCTACTTGCAGATGTTACCATCACGTCAGGGCCACGCCCCTAACTCGTCTCCCCATTGGCTGAGGCCAAAGCCAGCAGAACCAATCATCTACTTGCAGCTGCCACCATGACGTCAGGGCCACGCCCCTGACTCGTCTCCCCATTGGCTGAGGCCAAAGCCAGCAGAACCAATCATCTACTTGCAGCTGCCACCATGACGTCAGGGCCACGCCCCTAACTCGTCCACCCATTGGCTGAGGCCAAAGCCAGCAGAACCAATCATCTACTTGCAGCTGTTACCATCACGTCAGGGCCACGCCCCTGACTCGTCTCCCCATTGGCTGAGGCCAAAGCCAGCAGAACCAATCATCTACTTGCAGATATCACCTTCCCATGACGTCAGAGCCACGCCCCTAACTCGTCCACCCATTGGCTGAGGCCAAAGCCAGCAGAACCAATCCTTGCAGCTGTCACCCTTCCATCACGTCAGGGCCACGCCCCTAACTCGTCCACCCATTGGCTGAGGCCAAAGCCAGCAGAACCAATCATCTACTTGCAGCTGTCACCTTCCCATGACGTCAGAGCCACGCCCCTAACTCGTCCACCCATTGGCTGTGGCCAAAGCCAGCAGAACCAATCATCTACTTGCAGCTGTCACCTTCCCATGACGTCAGAGCCACGCCCCTAACTCGTCCACCCATTGGCTGAGGCCAAAGCCAGCAGAACCAACCATCTACTTGCAGCTGTCACCTTCCCATGACGTCAGAGCCACGCCCCTAACTCGTCCACCCATTGGCTGTGGCCAAAGCCAGCAGAACCAATCATCTACTTGCAGCTGTCACCTTCCCATGACGTCAGAGCCACGCCCCTAACTCGTCCCCCCATTGGCTGTGGCCAAAGCCAGCAGAACCAATCATCTACTTGCAGCTGTCACCTTCCCATGACGTCAGAGCCACGCCCCTGACTCATCTCCCCATTGGCTGAGGCCAAAGCCAGCAGAACCAACCATCTACTTGCAGCTGTCACCTTCCCATGACGTCAGAGCCACGCCCCTAACTCGTCCACCCATTGGCTGAGGCCAAAGCCAGCAGAACCAATCATCTACTTGCAGCTGTCACCTTCCCATGACGTCAGAGCCACGCCCCTGACTCGTCTCCCCATTGGCTGTGGCCAAAGCCAGCAGAACCAATCATCTACTTGCAGCTGTCACCTTCCCATGACGTCAGAGCCACGCCCCTAACTCGTCCACCCATTGGCTGAGGCCAAAGCCAGCAGAACCAATCATCTACTTGCAGCTGTCACCTTCCCATGACGTCAGAGCCACGCCCCTAACTCGTCCACCCATTGGCTGAGGCCAAAGCCAGCAGAACCAATCATCTACTTGCAGCTGTCACCTTCCCATGACGTCAGAGCCACGCCCCTGACTCATCTCCCCATTGGCTGAGGCCAAAGCCAGCAGAACCAATCATCTACTTGCAGCTGTCACCTTCCCATGACGTCAGAACCACGCCCCTGACTCGTCCACCCATTGGCTGAGGCCAAAGCCAGCAGAACCAATCATCTACCTGCAGCTGTCACCCTTCCATCACGTCAGGGCCGCGTCCCCAGGCTTCCTCCCATTGGCTGTAGACCAGGACCGGCAGAGCCAATCACCATGACGAGCTGTGAGACGTCAGTGAGCCGGATATATTCTCATATTACAGTTGGAAGGATCCGAGTTCAGATCCTAGTGGGGCGGGTTGGTTCAGCCTACGACATTCTTCAGGGTCAGTAAAATGTGTATCAAGTTGTGGGGAACACAACAGAATCAGACTCCTGTGAATCACTTCTGGATTTGAAGTTTTCGTGACCGCAAGGATTCATACTGTTTTTTGTCGGCAAAATCACGTAGGTGAGAAATTAAATACATTAAATTACTGACGCGGTCATTTTGATGTGACGGTTCCACCTGAAGGCGGATGCTTGTGTTGCCTCCGAAACGTCGTGATTTAATTTATTTCATTTTTTTACCTACGTGAATCAGACTCACCCCACCACAGCGATGTAGAATCAGCACTTACTGGACCACGGCCGTCATCAGGAAATGAGCATCGCCTTAAATGCTCATTTGAGCAGCAAAACAAAGACTATACGAGTTCATCTTCTTGGTTCTTTCGGTAAAGTCACGTAGAAGGGAAGCAATAAAATAATAAAAATAAAACATAATAAAATAAAATAATTCTCACGACGTTTCGGCCACAACGCAAGCAGCCGTCCTCAGGTGAAGAATGAGACATTTCCAAGCTAGGAGCTAATATATACGCTGCGTTGGAGGTGCAAGAGCGCCTTAACAAAAAGAATGTGCATATGAAGAGGAATTTAGCATATTCATGGGAAATGCGTAGGAGGTGGGTGGGGGGGGGGGGGGGTTTCATAGTCATATTATGCCCATGCATTATGCAGGATCAACAGCACCAAGGGGGGTGCAGTAGCATTAACAAAGGAAAAGAATGTTAATAGTATGTAGCTGCAGTTACTAAACAACAACGTAGAAAACTAAAGTATAGTTAGTTATTTATTAGGCCTATGATACGGACAACAAATTGTACCATGAGAGAATTAGCGACGATTGAGTTCGATTGATGAAAATTAGATACAAATGTCCCGTTCTGGCTCACGTTGAAAACGACACCGCACGGACAGAAAGTGCGAGACACAAACCGTGCGGATGAGGCAGCAGAAACTTGACAAAAAGAATGCCGTCGTGAATCGAATCGTGTCAAATCGCATCACTTTACACACGCCATTACCAGCCTGCAAACATCATCAATACGCACACACGGTACGTAATCCGTGTCTGTCCCTCTGCGTGAACATTAAAATAATTTTCTTGGTTCTTTTAGTAAAATCACGTAGAAGGGAAATAATAAAATAATAAAAATAAGACTTCATAAAATTCTCACGATGTTTCGGCCACAACGCAAACAGCCGTCCTCAGGTGAAGAACAGCGCTGTCGGAAAGACAGCGTCCGAAGAACAGCCGAAAGCTTTAAACAGCTTTAAATCGAACATTAAAGTCATTGTGTACATCCCATCTGCCGAAACCTCCATTCTGGGAGTGCAACATTACAGCAAAATGTGTTCAATACAATCAAACGCTGCACCAGTTGTTTCCGTTCAGTGTCTCATCAGCGAAGTCAGATTTGCTTGAATCAATGCTGGCGCATGACCAAAAGTGTATCGGTCCTCGTTTGATGAAACATGATAAGATACGCAACCCAACATAATCACAATCGCGTGTTGTAGTAACAACTTTGTGACCAGTGGCGGCTCCTGCAAAATCTCTCAGGGGGGGCAAATGTGTGGATGATTGATAAGGATAAGCTCCACCCATGCAATGGATAAATTAACAGCTTAAGCATGTAAAGGCAACTTCACTTCTTTAATATTAATGACAAATAAAGTGACTCTTACAATACATCTCCTTGTTTGTTTCTATACTCACTATTATTACAATCCACTCAGTTTCTTTTATTAAAGATTCCACTAGGTGGCGACAAATTATATTGTTGGATGAAACGTGCTTACGTATGATGATGTAAGCACGTTAGGGCGAGCCCTCCCTGAAGCCGTAGAGAATGCTTTGCAGCGCCCCCCGGTCGAAAAAAAACATCTTTGAATGTAAGTCTATGGGAACACTCGGGGCGATTCTCAGCCGGAGTGAAATCGCCCAAAAAGAGGCGGTACTCCACAGAACGTGACATGACGCTGATTGGACTATATCCAGAGGCACAGTGACGGCTAGCGTGACTCTGTGGTTGAATGACATTGGTGGTGCGTCGCCCAATCGCCCTAATGAAGAAACCGCCCCTGTTTGTAAGTATGTTTCATCGTGATGAAGGTACTCACAGCACTCGTGCCCACACATTTGTTTGTTTTTGCAGTTATGAAGACAGCCTCTCTTGGATTCATCCAAGCCAGCAAGTTGCTTCACTGTAAACGTATTTTATAACGACACATTACACATTACGTGACTCATACGATCAAATGTTGAACTTTAATGAACATTACTTTCAGCATATTTTAGGTCGAGTGAAAGAGTTGAGATATGTAAAATACTCTCGTGTGCAGAAGCATGTCTGAAAATGTTCCAAGGAGGGTGGGTGGGTGGGGGGGACAGTCCTGAACTTTTAATTGGGTCCCTAAAGTCGTATACAATATATATTTTTCGATGTAAAGCTTTCGTGACTGCAGGGATTCATCTTCTTGGTTCTTTCGGTAAAGTCACGTAGAAGGGAAATAATAAAATAATGCAAATAAAACATAATAAAATAGAATTCTCACGACGTTTCGGCCACAACGCAAGCAGCCGTCCTCAGGTGAAGAACAGGTCTGTCGGGAATACAGTGTTTCATTCAGACGTTGTCTTTCATTCAGACGCTGTCTTTCCGACAGACCTGTTCTTCACCTGAGGACGGCTGCTTGCGTTGTGGCCGAAACGTCGTGAGAATTCTATTTTATTATGTTTTATTTGCATTATTTTATTATTTCTCTTCTACGTGACTTTACCGAAAGAACCAAGAAGAAAAATACATATAGTTAATGTATTTTCTCTGAGAATAAAATATTAATTTTCGGCGTCTCAAGGAAGAGGGGAGGGGGGGTCAATGGCCACTGTGTCAGTTTGGAACTCGTTAGCACGCAAGAGATTATCTTTGCAGTAAAGTTGTATGTGTACAGGTCAACTCCACAACAAAATAGAATGCACCACACTGAACGTCCCCTGTGTATATTGCTTCACACTTGCCACAGCATGAGTTGGTGTTAAAAATTGCACAATTTAAGGATTATATCAGTGTTGTAAATATGAGATGGTGCATTTAAAATTGATTCCATGGGATCAAATGCATACGGTGGAAATAAACCAATGTATCTAAAATGCATGCAGAAACGAGGCGACACAAACCATTGCCGGCTGCTTGTGCTGCTGCTGCTCCTGCTGCTGAGACAGACGTCTTTGGTTTCTCACAGGTAGCAGCATGCAGGGATTGGGCCTGCAGATGCCTCTCATTCCCATAGAGCCCAGGGGCGCGTGGGCTCGAGTAGGATGGAGTGAAGCTCTGATGGATGTCCATACCAACTGGGAAAAGCATGAAAAGCACATTTTTACCACCGTAGCTTTAATAATTCTAGATTTGAAGCTTTTGTGACTGCAAGGATTCATATTCTTAGGTTTTTTCGGTAAAGTCAAAACATTAAAATTACTAAAAGTAAAATAAAATAAAAATCACGACGTTTCGGAGGCAACACAAGCTTCCGTCTTCAGGTGGAGCCGTCACAGCCACGACAGCCGTATCAAGTAAATGAGAGATTGCAAGAGCTACCACACTTTTTATTAAACCAACCATTATATAAACGGAGTGGTAGCTCTTGCAATCTCTCATCTACTTGATACGGCTGTCGTGGCTGTGACGGTTCCACCTGAAGACGGAAGCTTGTGTTGCCTCCGAAACGTCGTGATTTTTATTTTATTTTACTTTTATTAATTTTAAAGCTTCAATCATCTTCGCCACTTGTTTATTTTTTTCAGCCAAACGCACAAAGAGTGCGAGAAACCTTGCAGTCGTAACGGATCCTGAGCACGAGTTCTCTTGCTACTGCCAACTCTGGAGGAAACTCTCATACCTCCACCTGCACATTTCCCACGCCCACCTATTTCCTTACCCCAGCTGCCTTCCACACCTTCACATCTCCTCCTCACATCCTCAAACTCCAGAGGAGCCAAGATGCCCCTGGCAGGCTTCTCGTCCACATCCGTCAACAAAACATCGCCACAACACTCACATCCCTCCGCTGGCTCTCAACGTAATCCCAGGTCAATTTCAAAACAGTGTAGTGTTGTAATTATTGACGAATAAACTTCGTTACGAGGCGCAGTCCCCAACACACAAGGGGTGTGACGGTACCCGGCCGGGTACGGGTACCCGTTTGCGACCCTGGTGCGGCCGGGTACGGGCAGACCGTGAGTCACTGGTGAGTCACCGTTTGTCACTCATTTCCCAACGTCTTGTCTCTTCTCACAATTCAAGTTCCTAGAATCAACCCACCCGCGCCTGCAACGCGGCTTCATCCCAGAGGTCGCAATCGGGTACCCGATACCCGTACCCTACCCGTACCCGGCTGGGTACGGGTAGGGTACGGGTACGGCCGGGTACGGGTACCCGTTTGCGACCCTGGTGCGGCCGGGTACGGGCAGACCGTGAGTCACTGGTGAGTCACCGTTTGTCACTCATTTCCCAACGTCTTGTCTCTTCTCACAATTCAAGTTCCTAGAATCAACCCACCCGCGCCTGCAACATGGCTTCATCCCAGAGGTCGCAATCAGGTACCCGATACCCGTACCCTACCCGTACCCGGCTGGGTACGGGTAGGGTACGGGTACGGCCGGGTACGGGTACCCGTTTGCGACCCTGGTGCGGCCGGGTACGGGTACGAGGGGTAAAGATTAAAAACCCGTTTGCGACCTCTGCACTGACCTCCAACTGTCTCTCTCCACCCCTCATATCCCCTGGCCCACGTGACACCCCCAGCCAATCCTCAGCCTCTCCCCTGGAACCTTCCAGATGTTGCTATGCAACCCCAGAGCCACGCCCCTGGCTCGCCGGCTGAGGCCGGCAGAGCCTATCAGTTACCCCCCCCCCCCCCCCGGGTGCATCCTCATATTACGCATGTGAATACTGTACGCACATACGTGACGCCATGCAGCAGTCTGTGGACAGCTGCATGCGTCTCTGAAGCTGACTCCTGACCAAGGCTGACTGAGAACGATGACCTGGTGTAGTCTGTGGACAGCTGCATGCGGCTAGAAAACTGACTCCTGACCAAGGCTGACTGAGAACGATGACCTGGTGTAGTCTGTGGACAGCTGCATGCGGCTAGGAAACTGACTCCTGACCAAGGCTGACTGAGAACGATGACCTGGTGTAGTCTGTGGACAGCTGCATGCGGCTAGGAAACTGACTCCTGACCAAGGCTGACTGAGAACTATGAACTGGTGTAGTCTGTGGACAGCTGCATGCGTCTCCGAAACTGACTCCTGACCAAGGCTGACTGAGAACGATGACCTGGTGTAGTCTGTGGAAAGCTGCATGCGGCTCTGAAACTGACTCCTGACCAAGGCTGACTGAGAACGATGTCCTGGTGTAGTCTGTGGACAGCTGCATGGGGCTAGGAAACTGACTCCTGACCAAGGCTGACTGAGAACGATGACCTGGTGTAGTCTGTGGACGAGGTGGCAGCCCTGGGACGTACCGTACGTCGAGCTGAGAAGGTGGATGTCGAGCTCGTCACTTTTTTCCGGCCGAACAACTTCCAGCTTCTTCATCCAACTCCCCGTTCTCAGCAGCATGTCGTCTCTGCGAAGGTCACATGGGTGCGCGCGTAGCTTCCATAACTTGCTATTGCCGTAGGTATCTCAGTGATGAAATGTGTGCGCCGTGTTGCACCCGACGTTCAAGATTTCTGACATTCACAACGAGTAGAACATTCTAGTACCTCTCCGTAACAAAGGCTCACCCTCTCAAGCCTCACCTTACCATATTGATAAAAAGTATGCGGCCATTGCCCCACCACCTTCTCCAAACCATTATATAAACGGAGTGGTAGCTCTTGTAATCTCTCATCTACTTGATGCGGCTGTCGTGGCTGTGACGGTTCCACCTGAAGACGGAAGCTTGTGTTGCCTCCGAAACGTCGTGATTTTTATTTTATTTTACTTTTTTAATGTTTTACCTACACGTGACTTTACCGAAAAAACCTAAGAATACGAGTAGACCAGTTCTACTCGTTGACAAATAAAATAAAAATACCTAAAAATTACTCAATTGGAAGTACACACAGCAACCATTTTAATTAAATTTTTTACCTACGTGACTTTACCGAAAAAACCTAAGAATATGAACCATCCCCCCCCCCCCCCCCCGACTGGCAACCTCATGCCCAAGTGCAGGCCGGCTTCTGAATCTCCTTGTGTCCACAGGGGCAGTTGCCACTGGGGGTGCCCATTTAAATGTGTCTGAGCGTGACGTCAGTCGCTCACTGCGCTCATAGACACCCCGGATGAAAAGGCCCTATCAATAAACGGGCGATTGTTATTAATTTCGCCAGTAACAAGTGCATTTAAAATTTGAATATTTGTTTCTAGGAACAATGTTTCGATTTAAAGCTTTCGTGACTGCAGGGATTCATCTTCTTGGTTCTTTCGGTAAAGTCATCACGTAGAATGGAAGTAATAAAATAATAAAAATAAAACATAATAAAATAATTCTCACGACGTTTCGGCCACAACGCAAGCAGCCGTCCTCAGAGTCTGCGCTGGGACTGCAGGTCGCCTCGACAGACCTGGTCTTCACCTGAGGACGGCTGCTTGCGTTGTGGCCGAAACGTCGTGAGAATTGTATTTAATTATGTTTTATTTTTATTATTTTATTACTTCCCTTCTACGTGACTTTACCGAAAGAACCAAGAAGAGGAACAATGTTGTTGACGTATAGGAACGAGGCGTAATCCCTGCTCGTGTATTGTGTTACATTGACTTGAATATGATGCTAATTATTGTTGTGTTCTATTCCTTTATATTGCCGCATGTTCAGGAGGAGCTAAATGCCAATGTCGAGATCTGATAGCCACGAGAGCTTAAGGAGCGAGTTTGTGTAGTTGTTCTACTTGAAGGCGAGCAGGCCACAGGGGTTTACTTCTGCTCCATAGTTTGGGTTACATGGCCACTCGTCGCACTGATCCAAAGAACACAGGATGAGATGTTACTATCCTTTGTGCAAGCACTTCCAAGAGTTCATGAACAGTGAGCCTGGTGACATTTGGGGAGCGCATCGTCAGTAGTGAACCTTTGGTTCCTAGGGTGTTTCGGCCTTTCACACGATACACCCTCCCCAAAGTCGGCCAGCGACAGGGCGATCAATCCTACGCTTGTGTGATGCCACCGCCACGAAGCCGTTCGGCAGGCACCAAATCCCCGACCTCGCCACCACCAAGCAACGGAGCCGACCCCGCGTCCCCCTCACCTCACCTCACATGAACACACCCGCACTCATTTCCCCCCCCCCCCCCCATAGAGCTCCGAGGGGAGATCGCCTGGCCGACCGGTTTTTATCCGAGAGACCCTTATCGGGATTAATTCTCACGGTTTCCGGCGATCAGGGGATTGGATGACCTCCCCCGTGCTACGTGGCACCGCGGCGCTGCGGCCGGCCTTAATATGGTGTGGTCGCGGCGTGGGGCATTCGGCCACCGCGGTTGAAGCGCATCTCCCCCCACACACACTCCCACGGGTCGACGGGGCGAGCAGGGGAGGCACGGGACAGCATGAATAGGGGGGTCACAGGGGCTGTTGCGCATAGTCATGGAGGGTTGGGATAATTGCGCTTGAGCGCGCAGGCCCCATTGTTAGGGAGGGTAAGGGATTAAGTAGGATTTACGCCTTGCACGCAGCACACTGATTAGCATATCAACAGCGCCCAGAACCGCCGTGCGCGTGCCAGAGGATCGCGAGCCCATTGTTTAGCGCAGCATCCCCTTTGAGGTAGGGAGGATAAATAGAGGGGCGCAGAGGGAAAATAGCTCTCTTCTCTCCAGCGCCAGGCGACAGGACGCTCTCCAGTCCAGCGACCCGATCGTCCGTGAGACGCATCGAGGTGCGCTGCGAGCACGGGATCAACGAACCGCCGTGGGCATCCAGCAGGAAGTAAGTAGGTGAATTAGAATCATAGCAGAAAAATCGGGAATAGGTATAAAGGTATCAGCGTAGGCCAGCCTCGTCGACTCACTGATTTAACATTAAATTACCAGGTATCAGATAATAAATCATTAATAGCGAAGCGTGGTCTCGCGTGATATTGTCGTGCAGTGTGAGCGTGTGGGTGCGCGTGTGTACACTGTGGTTCACCACGTGAGTGAGCTCTGCGTAGAGCGGCGCACGAGTGGGTGTCGCGTGTGTGCAGGTGTGTGCGCTCGTAGTGTGGGTGAAGGGGTCGGTGCGTCCGCAGGTCCCCGATCCGTCTGTCGCCGCCGGGACTCGCGCAGTGTGAGGGCAGCGTCGTTCGCCCCCGACCCCCGTTTAATAGCGCGTGATCCGTGGAGAGACAACGCAGCGTCTGCAGGTGAACGAGGGCGTGCGGCGAGCTATGCCTCTCACACGAGCTCGCGGAGGGACGGACCAGGGAGGGGAGCCGTCGGGCGATGAGCCCAGCGACGGCAGCAGCTGCTCGCAGAGCAGCGAGGGGTCGGCGCACGGCGGAGCCCCTGCCATAGGCACGGAGCAGGGAGGGACTCCGGGGACCAGCGGCCCCAACACTTGCGTCCCATTCCCAATTAGTCGTAGGAGTTGCCTTGTTGTTGATAGCACATTGCCCTGTTGATGTCGTGATGCGGTCGATGGTTCACCGGTGTCTTTGAGGAATGTCAAAGCAAGCAGGTGCGATGTCTGCCTCTCAAATGATCAGGCTCATGAACATTTTGTTCTATTCAACATCAAACACACGCGGCCTTGTCACAACTACTGCGATGTGGAATGTGAGCGCACGTGATGATTTGCCGGTGGACGAGGTTGTTGTCGGAGTTGCCCATCAGCAGCGTGCAGCTGTGGCTGTCCAGAGCTGTGCGCTGGGACTGCAGCTCCGCAAAGTTCTTTAGAACCACTGTGATCATCACCTCAGCCACAGCCTTGTAGTGCCGGTGACCCTGGGGGGACAAACAGCAACCAGCGCTATTCTGAATTGATGATAGGCAAAGCTTAGCAAGCCATGAAATTAAATTGACTATTCTAGATTTGAAGCTTTCGTGACTGCAAGGATTTATAATCTTAGGTTTTTTCGGTAAAGTCACGAAGGAAAAAAATTGTAATTAATAAAAGTAAAATAAAATTGAAATCACGACGTTTCGGAGGCAACACAAGACTCCGTCTTCAGGTGGAAACGGAGGCTTGTGTTGCCTCCGAAACGTCGTGATTTTTATTTTATTTTATTTTTACTTTTATAAATTTAAATTTTTTACCTACGTGACTTTACCGAAAAAACCTAAGAATATGAAATTGACTTTTACTAAGGTGAAGATAAAAGATAATTAGTCGATTTCTTCATTTAAAACCTCGTGAAAAAACACTTAACAAAACACAGAAAAATTGTAGCAACATTTCGATGTAAAGCTTTCGTGACTGCAGCAGGGATTCATCTTCTTGGTTCTTTCAGTAAAGTCATCACGTAGAATGGAAATAATAAAACAATAATAAGTATAACCCGTAAAAACAAAGTTTTTCACTAAAAATCCTTTATATGCGTGGCAGCGAACTTAATATAAAGGATTTAAAAATATATTCGCCTGTGGAGGACGCGGGGATCGATCCCGCGACCTTTGGCATGGGAAGCGAGGGCGCTACCAACTGCGCTACTCCGCCACGGCCTGTGGAGGGGTTACGCTCTGGGCTCCTACACTGTGACGTTCAGCCAAAGCCATGAATGCGTTCTATTTGAATATATGTAAAATACATTTTTTTTGCCTAAAAAGTGTAAAATTTTGGGAATTTTTTTTCACGAACATTAATTGTCTGGCACAACGAGTCTCTGTGGAAAATGTCAGCTCGATTGGATCACGGGAAGTGGGTTAAAAAACGACCAAAAGATTTGCACGGTCCTAAGCAAGCAAGCAAGCACGCAAGCAAGCAAGCAAGCGAACTTAATATAAAGGATTTAAAAATAAAACATAATAAAATACAATTCTCACGACGTTTCGGCCACAACGCTAGCAGCCGTCCTCAGGTGAAGACCAGGTCTGTCTGCTTCAGACGCTATCTTCCCGACAGACCTGTTCTTCACCTGAGGACGGCTGCTTGCGTTGTGGCCGAAACGTCGTGAGAATTATTTAATTGTGTTTCATATTTATTATTTTATTATTTCCATTCTACGTGACTTTACCGAAAGAACCAAGAAGATGTAGCAACATTCTAAAAGTCAACGGCCACTTGCCCCACTGTAGTCAGCAGCAGTGGCGGCTCCTGCAAAATTTCTCAGGGGGGGCAAATGTGTGGATGATTGATAAGGATAAGCTCCACCCATGCAATGGATAAATTAACAGCTTAAGCATGTAAAGGCAACGTCACTTCTTTAATATTAATGACAAATAAAGTGACTCTTACAATACATCTTGTTTGGTTCTATACTCACTATTATTACAATCCACTCAGTTTCTTTTATTAAAGATTCCACTAGGTGGCGACAAATAATATTGTTGACTGAAACGTGCTTACGTATGATGAGGGCTCGGACTCATCTACCTGCACCATGCTGACTTGGTACTTGGGAAGATGCTGAACGGCGTCTTTCATCTGGTTCCCAAATGGAGGGTGTCTGTTCACTATCTGCACAATGCAGGAATACACCACCAGCAAAAACATCATTTGAGTTTTGTTGAAATGTTGTTTACATAATTGGTTTTTTACCCTTCTATCTGGCAACAAAACGGACACCTTTTTTTTGACAAGGAGTAAAAAAAAGGTGTCAGTTTTGTTGCCAGATAGAAGGGTAAAAAAACAATTATCATATTTTTACTGGCAAATGAGGTTCCAATGATGTTGTTTACAAACAAGAAATGCACTCGTTATTGGCTGGTGTTACTATTATTAAGGAAGGCTGACGATTATAATGCGTTATAATTATAATAAAAGTGTTTCCCCCTTTTTTCTGGCAACAAAACTGAAACCTTTTTACGAGGAATCACGTGGTGCATTCACCACAATACTTGTGGTCAGTGGCGGCTCCTGCAAAATCTCCCAGGGGGGGCAAATGTCTGGATGATTGATAAGGATAAGCTCCACCCATGCAATGGATAAATTAACAGCTTAAGCATGTAAAGGCAACTTCACTTCTTTAATATTAATGACAAATAAAGTGACTCTTACAATACATCTTGTTTGTTTCTAAACTCACTATTATTACAATCCACTCAGTTTCTTTTATTAAAGATTCCACTAGGTGGCTTACGTATGATGACGTAAGCACGTTAGGGCGAGCCCTCCCGGAAGCCGTAGAGAATGCTTTGCAGCGCCCCCGTTCGAAAAGAACATCTTTGAATGCAAGTCTATGGGGCCACTCGGGGCGATTCTCAGCCGGAGTGAAATCGCCCAAAAAGAGGCGGTACTCCACAGAACGTGACATTACGCTGATTGGACTATATCCAGAGGCTGACAGTGACGGCTAGCGTGACTCTGTGGTTCAATGACATTGGTGGTGCGTCGCCCAATCGCCCTAATGAAGAAACCGCCCCTGCTTGTGGTCAACATGCAAACAAAAACACACACTCTGATAATATGATGCATTGCCCTTGGAACCGATTGGTCCACCCCAGAGACGGCTTTCTTTTGAGCCTCGCCTCAATTGGTGCCAGACCAGAGGAGGTCTAATGATGTAGATGCTCACCCCGAGCCCTCGTTACTTTGATAGCGCAGAATAGTCTGTGAGCTGTACGCCTTTTGCGCTGTTGACACATTTCGATTTAAAGCTTTCGTGACTGCAGGCATTCATCTTCAGATTCATCTGCAGCTCCTTACTATTCAAATTGCGTTGTGGCCCGAAACGTCGTGAGAATTATTTTATAATGTTTTATTTTTATTATTTTATTATTTCCCTTCTACGTGACGACTTTACCGAAAGAACCAAGACGATGAACCCATGATCTCACCAACTCAATTTCCCGTCCATGAGTGTTTGCAATTTTCTCAAAAGATGTCAATCCAGCGTTGACCAGTGCGCTGGACATTGAGAAGCCTACAGCAGAAACACACCGAGGTTAAGTCGCGTCTAATTGAAGGGTCTTCTGAATAGAATTTCGTGGTTGTCAATCATTGCGTACGTATTGCTTTTATACGTAAAAGGGACGATCATTTACCGATTTTTTCAAGTTGTTTTAAAACGGAAGGTGAATTCTCCCAAAGCTTTGCACGAAAACATTTCGTGAGTTGGACTGCATTCAGCACGGCCTGGAAGTTATTCCGTTTATCCTTTTGTTGCAAAAATTCGGCGAGACCTACAAACGCAAAACGGAGTTACAACAGATATTAATACTTCTAGATTTGAAGCTTTCGTGACTGCAATGATTCATATTCTTAGGTAAAGTCACCGTGTAGGTAAAAAACATAAAATAGTAAAATAAAATAAAAATCACGACGTTTCGGAGGCAACGCAAGCTTCCATCTTCAGGTGGAACCGTCACAGCCACGACAGCCGTATCAAGTACATGAGAGATTGCAAGAGCTACCACTCCGTATATATAATGGTTGGAGAAGATAGATATAAATACTGCCGTGCTTTTAAACGTTAGCTCCGGAAACAAAGTGCATTTGTTTTAATGGTGCAGTTGAAACTGACATTTTGTAAGTCTGATTCCAGTCCTGAAGATTTTCGCAGTGTCCTGTATCAACGCAAAATCTTGCACGAGGACGCATCCCAGCTGAGCTTGAATGAGACTACAAACAAAGCATCATTTCAATTGTGTAGCAAAGCAGAATTCTCCACTTGAACACACTTTTTGTTGCAATATAGACGCAGTTTCGAGTGTTAAAGTGAGTGTCAATACATCTTGAAGGCTCTCCAATTAAAATGTATAATAATCTGCAAATGTGTAGAACGTTAAAACTCTAAGCACGAATTTTTCGATTTAAAGCTTTTTTCGTGACTGCAGGGATTCATCTTCTTGGTTCTTTCGGTAAAGTCATCATGTAGAAGGGAAGTAATAAAATAATAAAAATAAAACATAATAGAATAATTCTCACGACGTTTCGGCCGCTTGCGTTGTAGCCGAAACGTCGTGAGAATTATTTTATTTTATTATGTTTTATTATTTTATTACTTCCCTTCTACGTGACTTTACCGAAAGAACCAAGAAGGTCTAAACACGAAATTGTGTTGCTAGCTATAAAGAAAGTTCATAACCAACTCCAAATGTAAACGCATGTGCTATCTTAACAGGAGCATTGAAACCATAGCTGTACTTACCAGTTGATTTTCATTTCACTGGTTTTTATTTTACCGGGCATTGGAAATCTGAAATGATATAAGCATTCAGACTCACTCATAATGGTTTATACAAATAACTAATACACACCCAATATACAATATACACTAAACATGTGCTCATACCGACTTAAACCCCATTCGTTTATCCATACAATATTTTGAAATACGTAATACATTAACAACTACTATTGTCTCAAATATGTAAATGTTTTCTCACCTGATGTTTCACTATCCGAGAAACCTTTTGTTTAAATTAATTATAATACAAATTTTAGACCGATAAAACATTTGATATGAAACTTTCAACATGATTCCAGTAGTGTAGGTTCTGTATTTTTATTCCAAAGATGTAATGACATTAACACAGGATCTTAAAAAATTAACCCGTAAAAACAAAGTTTTTCACTATAAATCCTTTATATGCGTGGCATCGGTTTTATTTTATTATTCATTTCTGTTTTTTTTTGTAAGAGTTTCATTTTTATCACATTGGTATTTAAATTAAATATGAAAAAAAAATCCCTAAAAAGTGGAAAATTTTTGAAAATTTTTTTCACGAAAATAAATTGTCACGCACAACGAGTCTGTGCGCAAAATGTCAGCTCGATAGGATCACGGGAAGTGGGTTAAAAAACGACCGAAAGATTTGCACGGTCGTAAGCAAGCAAGTGAACTTAATATAAAGGATTTAAAATAAGTATAACCCGTAAAAACAAAGTTTTTCACTATAAATCCTTTATATGCGTGGCGGCTAGAGTCCTCTCGTCCTCTGGCTTGAGATGGCTGCCACCTATGGGCCAGATGATTGTCTGCCAGTATTAAGCAATTGGTAATTAAATATTTAATATGTTTTCCCTAAACAGTGTAAAATTTTGGAAAAAAAATTTCACGAACATTAATTGTCTCGCACAACGAGTCTGTGTGCAAAATGTCAGCTCGATTGGATCACGGGAAGTGGGTTAAAAAACGACCGAAAGATTTGCACGGTCGTAAGCGCGCAAGCAAGCAAGCAAGTGAACTTAATATAAATGATTTTTTAAAATACCTAACATTCTTCAAACTGACCAAATATACCATTTCAAAATTGCAATTTATTGTAATGTAACTTTGCCAACACACATTATGTATAATTGTATATTTACAAATGGCAATTCACCTACATTGGTTTAAACAAAAGTGACTGCTGATGAGACACGAAATGTCAACACCAGTCCAGAGTTTGGTTGCGTGGAACCAAGTCTGCTGAGATGATGCACTCCCACAACTCCACGTGGCGGCTGATAGGAAGTGTCACGTGTCTGCATTATTTCATGTGGATGGACAGATACAGTGAGGGGGGGAAAAGTATTTGATCCCCTGCTGATGTAGTACGTTTGCCCACTGACAAAGAAATGATCAGTCTATAATTTTAACGCTAGGTTTATTTGAACAGTGAGAGACAGAATAACAACAACAAACTCCAGAGAAACGCATGTCAAAAATGTTATAAATTGATTTGAAAAAAGTATTTGATCCCCTGCTGATGTAGTACGTTTGCCCGCTGACAAAGAAATGATGAGTCTGTAATTTTAACGGTAGGTTTATTTGAACAGTGAGAGACAGAATAACAACAACAAAATCCAGATAAACGCATGTCAAAAATGTTATAAATTGATTTGCATTTTAATGAGGGAAATGAGTATTTGACCCCCTCTCAATCAGAAAGATTTCTGGCTCCCAGGTGTCTTTTATACAGGTAAGGGGCTGAGATTAGGAGCACACTCTTAAAGGGAGTGCTCCTAATCTCAGCTTGTTACAGTGAGGAGGGAAAAAAGTCTTTGATCCCCTGATGATTTTGTACGTTTGCCCGCTGACAAAGAAATGATCAGTCTGTAATTTTAATGGTGGGTTTATTTGGAGAGTTTGGAATCTGATTGATTGATTGCTTCTGTGAACAGGTGTCTTTTATACAGGTAACAAGCTGAGATTAGGAGCACTCCCTTTAAGAGTGTGCTCCTAATCTCAGCTCGTTGCCTGTATAAAAGACACCTGGGAGCCAGAAATCTTTCTGATTGAGAGGGGGTCAAATACTTATTTCCCTCATTAAAATGAAAATCACTTTATAACATTTTTGACATGCGTTTTTCGGGATTTTTGTGTTGTTATTCTGTCTCTCACTGTTCAAATAAACCTACCGTTAACATTACAGACTGATCATTTCTTTGTCAGCGGGCAAACGTACTACATCAGCAGGGGATCAAATACTTTTTAAATCCTTTATATTAAGTTCACTTGCGTGCTTGCTTGCTTGCTTAGGACCGTGCAAATCTTTCGGTCGTTTTTTAACCCACTTCCCGTGATCCAATCGAGCTGACATTTTCCACACAGACTCGTTGTGCGTGACAATTTATTTTCGTGAAATTTTTTTCCTAAATTTTACACTTTTTAGGAAAAAATTAATCATATTTAATTGCCAATTGCTTAATGGTGGCAGACAATCATCTGACTCATAGGTGGCAGCCATCTCAAGCCAGAGGACGAGAGGACTCTAGCCGCCACGCATATAAAGGATTTATAGTGAAAAACTTTGTTTTTACGGGTTAAATTTTTCCCTCACTGTATGTGAAAGAGGCATATTGTACGCTTATTATTTTCCCCCATTCTTTACGACGATGCTAATGTTTATTTTGCGATGTGTCACCGATTGTTACCGTATGATGTGCTTTTTGGCCACGTTCAATGTGTTCAGGGCTTTCTTTTCATTGACGCGGAGTGCGATGTCTTTGTACTCTCGACAGCTTGAGATGAGCGTCACCTGTAAAGAAGGTCAAAGATCAAGATGTCATCGTGGCCAACACCGTTGATGCCGCTACACAGAATTGGAAAAGAATTCCACCCTCCATCAGATCCCGCATCTGCACACAATGAGCTCCCAAGTCTGCCCTGACACTAAACGCACATCCATTACAGGGTCAAATCAGTATTTGATGACCACCAAACATGGCAAAACTGTTTTCTTCTTCTTGGTTCTTTCGGTAAAGTCATCACGTAGAAGGGAAGTAATAAAATAATAAAAATAAAACATAATAAAATTATTCTCACAGAGTCAGACTCTGTCGCCTCGACGGACCTGGTTTTCACCTGAGGACGGCTGCTTGCGTTGTGGCCGAAACGTCGTGAGAATAATTTTATTATGTTTTATTTTTATTATTTTATTACTTCCCTTCTACGTGGTGACTTTACCGAAAGAACCAAGAAGATGAATCCCTGCAGTCACGAAAGCAGCTTTACATCGAAACGTGCCAATGAGTTAATGAGTTAAGTCAAGAAAGCTTTAAATCAAAATGGCAAAACTGTTTTCTTCTTCTTGGTTCTTTCGGTAGGAGTGGCAGCAGTGGCAGCAGCGGCAGCAGTGGTAGTAGCAGTGACAGCAGCGGCAGCAGGGGCAGCAGCGGCAGCAGCGGCAGCAGCGGCAGCAGCGGCAGCAGCGGCAGCAGCGGCAGCAGCGGCAGCAGCGGCAGCAGCGGCATCAGCGGCAGCAGCGGCAGCAGCGGCATCAGCGGCATCAGCGGCATCAGCGGCAGCAGCGGCAGCAGCGGCAGCAGCGGCAGCAGCGGCAGCAGCGGGTAGCAGCGGCAGCAGCGGCAGCAGCGGCAGCAGCGGCAGCAGCGGTAGCAGCGGTAGCAGCGGCAGCAGTGCATCAGAGAAGATACGGAGCAGGGTAGCAGCGGAGCGAAGGACTCTGGGAGAGCTGGAGAGAGAGCGGAGGGACACAGAGCGCCGCTGATGGCGGATGGCGTGGCGGGGCGAACGGGTGGCCACGGAGCGGCGATGAGGAGAAGGTGTGGACCTTGAGGAGAAAATAAACGGGACGAGAAAGACAACACGAGTACGAGTTCTACATCTGCTCAATTGTTTGTCTGCTTATTAATTTGTTTTACTGGTAGGAACGAAGTGAACCAGCCTACAATAGATTATATCGTCTGTCCGATGTCCGATTCGGTGTAGCAACATCGCCCCCTACTGCAAACACTTGGCAGGACCCTACAAAAACCTTTAGACTCAGTGAGGCTTTCCTGGCTAAACAAGTGTAACATTCCCTTATAATTCCTTGAGATAGTTTTTTATTAAAACATTTCAATTAAAAATTAACTCACAGCGGCCTAAAGCCTACAGCTAGGCCTAAAGCCTAGAACTAGGCCTCAAACTCTCCCTTCGTATCGTACCCCCGCGTGTGTGAAAGGGAGTTAATGTTTAACAATGTTACATTCCCTGATGTTTTTAAATAGAAACATTTACATTTAAAGCTTTTACATTAACAATTAAAACATTTAAATTAAAAATTAACTCACAGCGGTCTAAAGCCTACAGCTAGGCCTAAAGCCTAGAACTAGGCCTCAATCTCTCCCGTTGTATCGTCCGTTTAGGTGTAGCAACATCGCCCCCTACTGCAAACACTTGGCAGGAACCTTCAAAAACCTTTACACTCAGTGGGGCTTTCCTGGCTAAACAAGTGTAATAATACATTATGTTTATATTCTTTGCTTATTCGTTCCTACCAGCCCACCCCGCAGGGACCTGTTACAAAATAACTCGCGGCCTGTTGTCAAATATCCAAAATAATAGTCTACAGCCGCTTGTCAAATCCGCTGCTGCTGCTGCTACTGCAAGTCGTTGTGGTTGTTTGATTCGCGTCACACACACACACATCCTTGTCAGTTCTAGATTTGAAGCTTTCGTGACTGCAAGGATTCATATTCTTAGGTTTTTTCGGTAAAGTCACTGTGTAGGTAAAAACATCAAAATTAATGAAAATAAAATAAAATAAAACAAAAAATCACGACGTTTCGGAGGCAACACAAGTCTCCGTCATCTGGTGGGACCGTCACAGCCGAATTAGCTGCATCAAGTGAGGCAATGATTCAAGATGTGATCCCTTATAAGCAAGTTGAAGGTGGGGAGGAGAGGGGGGGGGGAGCTCATCAGAATGTGGTAGCCAATGATGAGCCCCCCCCCTCTCCTCCCCCCCTTCAACTTGCTTATAAGGGATTACATCTTGAATAATTGCCTCACTTGATACAGCTAATCCGGCTGTGACGGTCCCACCAGATGACGGAGACTTGTGTTGCCTCCGAAACGTCGTGATTTTTTGTTTTATTTTATTTTATTTTCATTAATTTTGATGTTTTTACCTACACGGTGACTTTACCGAAAAAACCTAAGAATACGAATCATTGTCTGTTAACATGATCACAGTCACGAGCTGTCATGCGTTGTCATGAACCCTTTCTTAAAGTCTTAAAGTCTTAAAGTCACTTTATTGTCAAGTGTGTTACATGCGTGGTGGTCAAGGTTGACACCAAGGTTGACACAAGCTAGGGGAGAGGTACGTACCGGTCTGGACCGGCCCGGATTGACAGGGACGAGAGGTAGTTGGAACGGCTCTGAGGGGAGGGGGCTGGCGAGAGCCAGGGCCCGAGACACCCCCGCCCCTCAGAGAGAGGGGAGATATAAGACGGCTCCCGGAGAGCGGAGGGGTCGATCGGAGGAGAAGCTGAAGGAGGAGAGCCGGAGATCCTGGACCCCCAAACCTCAAGGATGCCGCCCCTCTGGAACTGAGTGGGCTGAGTAGCTGTAGGCTAGGGAAGAGAGTAGCTGAGTAGCTGTAGGCTAGGGAAGAGAGTAGCTGAGTAGCTGTAGGCTAGGGAAGAGAGTAGCTGAGTAGCTGTAGGCTAGGGAAGAGAGTAGCTGAGTAGCTGTAGGATAGGGAAGAGAGTAGCTGAGTAGCTGTAGGCTAGGGACGAGAGTAACAGAGTAGCTGGAGGCTAGGGAAGAGAGTAGCTGAGTAGCTGTAGGCTAGGGAAGAGAGTAGCTGAGTAGCTGTAGGCTAGGGAAGAGAGTAGCTGAGTAGCTGTAGGCTAGGGAAGAGAGTAGCTGAGTAGCTGTAGGCTAGGGAAGAGAGTAGCTGAGTAGCTGTAGGCTAGGGACGAGAGTAACAGAGTAGCTGGAGGCTAGGGAAGAGAGTAGCTGAGTAGCTGTAGGCTAGGGAAGAGAGTAGCTGAGTAGCTGTAGGCTAGGGAAGAGAGTAGCTGAGTAGCTGTAGGCTAGGGAAGAGAGTAGCTGAGTAGCTGTAGGCTAGGGAAGAGAGTAGCTGAGTAGCTGTAGGCTAGGGAAGAGAGTAGCTGAGTAGCTGTAGGCTAGGGAAGAGAGTAGCTGAGTAGCTGTAGGCTAGGGAAGAGAGTAGCTGAGTAGCTGTAGGCTAGGGAAGAGAGTAGCTGAGTAGCTGTAGGCTAGGGAAGAGAGTAGCTGAGTAGCTGTAGGCTAGGGAAGAGAGTAGCTGAGTAGCTGTAGGCTAGGGAAGAGAGTAGCTGAGTAGCTGTAGGCTAGGGAAGAGAGTAGCTGAGTAGCTGTAGGCTAGGGAAGAGAGTAGCTGAGTAGCTGTAGGCTAGGGAAGAGAGTAGCTGAGTAGCTGTAGGCTAGGGAAGAGAGTAGCTGAGTAGCTGTAGGCTAGGGAAGAGAGTAGCTGAGTAGCTGTAGGCTAGGGAAGAGAGTAGCTGAGTAGCTGTAGGCTAGGGAAGAGAGTAGCTGAGTAGCTGTAGGGCTAGGGAAGAGAGTAGCTGAGTAGCTGTAGGCTAGGGAAGAGAGTAGCTGAGTAGCTGTAGGCTAGGACGAGAGTAGCTGAGTAGCTGTAGGCTAGGGAAGAGAGTAGCTGAGTAGCTGTAGGCTAGTGAAGAGAGTAGCTGAGTAGCTGTAGGCTAGGGAGAGAGTAGCTGAGTAGCTGTAGGCTAGGGAAGAGAGTAGCTGAGTAGCTGTAGGCTAGGGAAGAGAGTAGCTGAGTAGCTGTAGGCTAGGAAGAGAGTAGCTGAGTAGCTGTAGGGCTAGGGAGAGAGTAGCTGAGTAGCTGGAGGCTAGGGAAGAGAGTAGCTGAGTAGCTGTAGGCTAGGGAAGAGAGTAGCTGAGTAGCTGTAGGCTAGGGAAGAGAGTAGCTGAGTAGCTGTAGGCTAGGCAGAGAGTAGCTGAGTAGCTGTAGCTAGGGGAGAGAGTAGCTGAGTAGCTGGAGGCTAGGGAAGAAAGTAGCTGAGTAGCTGTAGGCTAGGGAAGAGAGTAGCTGAGTAGCTGTAGGCTAGGGAAGAGAGTAGCTGAGTAGCTGTAGGCTAGGGAAGAGAGTAGCTGAGTAGCTGTAGGCTAGGGAAGAGAGTAGCTGAGTAGCTGTAGGCTAGGGAAGAGAGTAGCTGAGTAGCTGTAGGCTAGGGAAGAGAGTAGCTGAGTAGCTGTAGGCTAGGGAAGAGAGTAGCTGAGTAGCTGTAGGCTAGGGAAGAGAGTAGCTGAGTAGCTGTAGGCTAGGGAAGAGAGTAGCTGAGTAGCTGTAGGCTAGGGGAGAGAGTAGATGAGTAGCTGTAGGCTAGGGAAGAGAGTAGCTGAGTAGCTGTAGGCTAGGGAAGAGAGTAGCTGAGTAGCTGTAGGCTAGGGAAGAGAGTAGCTGAGTAGCTGTAGGCTAGGGAAGAGAGTAGCTGAGTAGCTGTAGGCTAGGGAAGAGAGTAGCTGAGTAGCTGGAGGCTAGGGAAGAGAGTAGCTGAGTAGCTGTAGGCTAGGGACGAGAGTAGCTGAGTAGCTGTAGGCTAGGGAAGAGAGTAGCTGAGTAGCTGTAGGCTAGGGAAGAGAGTAGCTGAGTAGCTGTAGGCTAGGGAAGAGAGTAGCTGAGTAGCTGTAGGCTAGGGAAGAGAGTAGCTGAGTAGCTGTAGGCTAGGGAAGAGAGTAGCTGAGTAGCTGTAGGCTAGGGAAGAGAGTAGCTGAGTAGCTGTAGGCTAGGGAAGA